GTATCAATGATCTTCAAAACAAGGAAATGATTCATTTATAATTCAAATTATAATTCTGTAACTTCAGAAATCAATAGCTCTCGAACGAAACGTTTGCGAGGATATTTCTGCAGGATATTTTTGTTTGTCTTCTGGGTCCTAAATTCATCTTTTAAGTTTGGCCATTTAATTTAGGAACACCCTGTATAAATAAATTCGTTTGCCCCTAATACCTATAATTTCACAACCACCGCGATTCTGTATGATTAAACTGAACAAGAAAACCAGTGGTAGAATGAAAATTAAACCGTTATCGTGGTACTCCGAAGGAAATATGAGAGATAAGTAAACCTGGAACGTTGGTAATAAAGAAACCCGAGTACCAGGTGTTCGCAGTGGTGGTAATCGAGTTGGACATTTAACGAGATAATTTGCTGTCATGGTTTTAACGCGGATTAAAAGCTTTGCGGTGGAATTTTCTGACTTATAGGAGACAACATTTTGCATTGTACGTTACAAGAATAGGAAGTAGGCGAGTTAAATCCAACCATTGCTCTCGTAATGTTTGCTTATCATGCGAGATTTGTACGCTGGATATAAATGTTCGTTTCTTCACAATATCTGATTCTTGTAATTAAATTCTTGTAAGAGGTTTCTTCGTTAGAATGGTTATTTGCATATTTGCGACTATTAAGTTGATTCATCTGGTACGTATCGATGATATTTAAACAATTTGATACTGAAATAAGACATTTGTACTGTCTCATATGTTTCTTTTATCATTGTTTATTCTTATCGAAAAAATGAAACTTGTTTTAATACTTTATAGAATAAATCTGAAATTCTCTGTGAAATAAATCAAATTGTTGTTTTGATACGTATCATTGATAACGCATTGAACAATAATAAATATAATTTAAATTCCTTCAAAATATATACTTTTGTTTTTTCTCTTTCAAGGATCTCCATCTAATAATCTTTAATTTGTATGAAGTCGTTCGCAAAGGGTTAGAAGTCTTTTATAATCCTTTAAATTCAATGTTTAATTTTTCCAAGATCATTTTCCACCAGGTTTCAATATTACTCAATATTAAACTCTTTAAAATCTTCAACCAAGACATACACATTTATACTTCGCAATTAATGATTTATTATTTCTCAAATAATATCCACGTCATTTTCAATATATATATATTCCACTGAAAAATGACAACAGAGTTCTATTATTATTATGAATAAATTTATGCTCGTAATATAACACGTCTCTCAAAACTAATAACGTCGTTACTAATTGCTAAAAGATAATAAAATGTGACTGGCTAAGTCTTCTTTTTCAAAACGATATTTTTATTAGAACAAAAATTATGCCAGTAATAGTTCAGGTTAAAGTCATTATTTTTACTTCTGTTCTTGAAAAAGTAGTACCGCACTTGTTAGCTCGCTATGTTTCGAAACCAACAAAAATGAAACAAATGTTTAAAAATCGTTTTGAATAAAATTTCACGATGAATTTGAATATGCAAAGAGAATCAAGATCCAGTATAGTCCCTGAGTTCGAGCCAACGAAAATTTATGCTAAGTTTCTGTGTTGGACGAGTGGTCAGGTTGCGAGAGAAACAGGTAGGAAAGAAACGGCTCGGTTCGCTGCACCTGACTATTTATAACGAATCAATACGAGCAGCCGGTCGTCGCGTTCTTCACGTGCTCTACGTTTGCACGTGCAAAACGACGCGTACGCGACCAACGACATTTATTTCACGTAAAAGCGTTAAATAAATATAGGAAGTCAATTACACAGGAATTGTTTAAAGAACACATTTTATTCATAAAGAGTATCCATAAGTAAAGTATAATTTTTTTTCTTCTAATATAGTATTTTTGGTCTAGTAACACTAGCAATAAAAGCACAGGACGTGAATTCTTCTTTAAAATATATCAGTCATGATTAATAAACGAAGTTTTAAATAGCTCATCGGCATACTTTTATTTTTATTAACATCAGTCTAAAAATATTACGTTAGAAGAAAACATACTTTAGTTAAAGCATACTTTAAAAAGTGTGTTTGTATATTTTTTACTATATACGTTTTAGTCGCAGGATTCTTTAAATCAAATTCTACCATTTATCTGTTTATTATTGATATCATATCCTTTTTATATTTCTGCTAACCCATCGGTGTTGTATGAAGTTTCTTCTGGTAGTTTCGAACAGTTTAATTCTTCAACTTGAAAGGAATAAGGAATATCGATTTCGATTTGTCCTTAGTGTATTAGAAAAAATCTTTAGAATAATTAGATTTTGAAAACCGTAGTTCGGAGGACAAAGGCATATGTGCTGAAGATTCACTCCAAATTTGAAGTCATTCGATCTACTAGAACTTGAGATATTATGGCAACCATTTCAGAAAAAGATATGGTTACAAGAAAATCGCGTTTAAAATTTTTCATACCAAGTACCTATACCTACGATTACGATTAAAACCCAATCTTCGCTTACTTCCTTGTTAAAAATGAATGTCACTTTTGCACATTTTACATATTAACAATAAAGAAATTATACTAAAAACTGCAAAGAAATTTAAAATGCATGACAAAACGCCATGAACTTTTTCGAATACCCATTATTTTTAAAGATCTATCAGAACAAATCAATATGTTGAAATTTCCCGAGTAGAATACCCTCTCAAGGGAAATTAGAATTTTTAGCAAGCATACATGCACATAAACAGTGAATCGCTCGAGAGTGAAGCGAATTGAGGGTTGCCAGGGCACGAATCGGGCGCATGATGGACGCGAGACTCGTGCAACGTGCATCGCGAAGTATCCGACCGATTATACATTCGATAGGATAGTAGGTGGCGTCCGATTCGCATTGGATCTCGCGAGATAATCGCTTCTGTTCGTGTCTGCTATAACTTAAGCGTTAACTGGACGAAGCATGGATTTGTCGTGCGCGAGATTAACGAGCTGGGCGTGCGTGAACTGCGATTTATCGTCGCGGACGGACAACTCGCGAGAAATATCGTTTTTCCGGGGATTTAATTTTCCATCGAGCAGCCGTTGTAATGGGGATGATTAAAATCGACAGCTTGCTATTATGCCCGCTGTATGACTGGCAGGGAAATTATAAGGTGCATTCCACGGACGAGTGTTCTGCCGAATTGCGTTATTAAGTTTGCGTGCAATAGTGGCGAATGGTCGAAAGTCGAAGCGAATACAGTTATTTACGAAAATATGATAATTTCGTCCACGTATGATAATGTTTGATGCAATTTAACAGTTTGGGGGTTATGGTTACTAATATTGATGAATTTGTACTTTAATCCTTATTAATAGATTGGAGGGAGTTTATGCATTTATGGCAAATATGGGGAAATCTGTGAGAATGTGCAGAAAATAAAAGTATGTAAAATATTAATCCTCTATGGGTAGAATTCTTCTTTCTGTAGACAATTTGCAAGTAATTTAGTTTGATATTTCAGGTTGATGATGCTGGTGACCATCATCACTATTGTGATTGGTTATCAAAGGCATCATATAATTAACTCTTTCCACTCGAGGCCTTTTTTTCTAGTATTTGCCAGCAACTCGAGATGTTTTTTAGCATTTTATTGCCATGAATTCTAAGCTATCTAGATTTGAGAATAAGGTCATCTTTACCTCACCGACAATCATTTTATTGATAGTTCGAGTTCCAAAGAGATTAAACCTAAAGAAACATTAGGTATTGTAGATTTGCTGTGTGAAACCTAATGGTGTTTGAGAGTCGCCTCTCGAGTGCAAAGGGTTAAGATATCATCTTATGGAAAAGCTAGAATTATTTCGTAAACTGTCGATATAGTAACATGTGATCTGAAAGTAACACGAACCCATAGAGGCTTAACAAATAAAATGCATGTTACATCGTTTAGAACATAAGATATATTTTCATTCAAGTTTCAGTTTTTCTCTATACGAAAATATGAATTGGCGTAACTATTCACAGTCTACTTACTAATATATTTAAAATGATAAATTATCTGTAATTTTGTTTATCTTTTTTTGATATCTTTGAAAAAATATGAAAATATTTTCATTGTACTTAAATTTTAGTCATTTTCTGTCGATATTTCGATTTTCTTTTGGATATCATATATTTCTGTGGGGTATAATATAATATTTACATATTAATTAAATTTGCTCGAAATAAATACTGGCTTTAGGGTTAACTCTTTTATACAGGCTACTTCCATTTTTCCATGCATAACTCTGTGAAATAAATTACGTAATGGAACGACTTTTTAAAATTGATTAAATACGTAAAATATATTATAACTGGATATTTTTGCGAATGATTCATGCTTTTATCCATTGAACGTTTCTTTGATACTAAATCTTTTTCATCCACTGTTAACACGTTAATAATCAAAATAGGAGGTATTAACATCTGAGATGTAGATCATTCAAAACTTTAATGAAAGAATGTCTTTTCTTCTAAACACGTATAGCATGTATATTATTGACATTTTATATATTCTTACATTTGAGGAGATTCTCATAAATTTATCCATACATTCATTTGCCATAAATGCATAAACATCCGCAGTCTAGTTATAATACAACACTGCTTGTACTTATTAATCGTATTATATGTATAAATACTTTTTCTTTACTATCACTGAAGAATAACTATATATCTATATACATATAAGCTTCTATATTTGTGTAAATACGGATTTACATAGAGCTACGTTCTAATTATAACAAACTGCCAGGAAAGCCATCACTTTTTTCAAAAACACAAAATTGAACAAGATCCACCGATAATTTATAATACGCCCCTAGCAACCGTCAGTAATTATCGCGACTCTAAATTTGTATTAAAAACAAAAGAATCGAAGGGTGAAAATAATGATACACAGAATTGACTAGCTAATAAAGCGAACAAATCTCGTCGATCCACTTGTCTCTGCGATTTCGTTTGGTCTTTATGTTTTTGGACGAATTCGCTGCATTCTTACGATAATGTTCTGGCGTTCCAGTTCGTTCGAATTTATGCAGCGAGGCAACGAATGAAATTTCGAATCGCTGGGAAAACAATAAACCGTTTAACGACCGATCGGTCGGGGAGAAAGGCCAAAATGTTCGTCGCTATGGTGCTGCACAAGCACAGCAAGCACAACAATAGGAATAACTCGAATCACCATTCAAGCAACAACAACTCTAACCGAACGACCAACAATCTGAACAACAACAACGTCATCAACAATAATGTCAACAATCTGAATCAGGCGTTCAACACCAGGGCGGTAAGTTTTGAAATTATGGAATATTTCTTACGAGACGTTTCTTGGTTCCTCTTGTCTCTGAGAGAAAAATTCATTTTTATTTGGAATAGTTTCAAAGTGTCACGATTTTCCTCTCTTATACATATAGGTCATTAATTTCAATGCACGATCGTAATTTTGATTTTTTCAAGGTAGGCACGTAAAAAGCTATTTTATGGAAAATTCATATTTATTGAAGTAATCGTATTTGAATTTATTGACAGGATGTTCGAACAATTAAGGTAGATGATTCATTCAAATTGTTCGTAAATTACAGTACCCAGCCTGACAGAATATAAAGTTTCGTAGAATTTTTGTTTTCCTTGGAATGTGAGAAATAATAAAGAGTGAATTTTACGAAATTTATTTTCTACTTAATAGAAATAGATATCTAATAAAAGTTGCGAATCTATTAATATCAATTATATCATTTATGTTTCACTATGTTTATGTTAATTAGCGAATATATATTTTATTAACAGTTATTTTTTTTTAATATCACATTAGCAATAATAAAAAACAGTTCAATTTTCTTTTTATTGTATGTCTGCTGCAGTCTGCTGCTGCGTGTTCTTAAAATTTCTTTTACCAAACTTGGATACTATTAATTTCTTCATTGTACCCGAAGTAATATTATCTCATTTATTTTGTAATATTTCGTCATAAATGTTTTTGATATATTGAACATTTTTCCTGAAATTTTATATCTAAACGATCCCATAGTTCCGCTATAAAATTGAATACACCACACAACATTTAGTATTATTGAATGTTGTTAAATACACATTCTATATAGAATTTAGCAACAAAAGTTGTAGAGTAATAATTTGCGGTGTATATTAATTATTCATTAAACTCAGTAAGTGTCCACATATTTACGATCGGGGATGTACATATTGCGAACAGCTAACAGAGATTCAAAGCAGCCCGCGTCGGAAGTTGCACTTGTAAATTTCAACTGCTTATATTTCGAGAACGAAGCCGTAGTTCGCAAATTGCTACAGGACTTTTCGATTCGTACTGGTATGAGGACCTTATCCCCGAAATGGCGCCCACATATTAAGAAACACCCTGTATAAATCCTGCGCATACACCTGTTGCTTTCTGCCCCGAAACGAAACCCGTTCGATTAATCGAAGTGACAGTAAGCTTGACGAACAGTCGCAATTAAGCGCGCGGTAGGAAACGCATTGAAACCGGTAATACTTGAAATCGCGTTAAAAACCGTTATCCACCGTTGACAGTGCGAAACAAATTTTTCACCTAGCGTGTCGCGTGTACGGTCAGGTGAAAATTTTCCACTTCCATTCCGCGGTTTAATTCACCGTTCGAAATGTTACCCGGTCATTCGCGCACTTTTGGCCGACGTTGTTACGTAGCAGATCGCAATAAAACGTTGATCCCGTTTAATCAACCGTGACACTTTATTTAACGAATTCGCTACCGCTGACGTGAATTCACGTCGCTTCAAATTCTATTCCCAGTTACGAAAAAATTCTGAAAATCTTTTTATTTTATACTCTACATATTTACAACATTTGAATTTCAAAGCATATTTTGTCATTTTTATTTTCGCCTTATCGATACAAATTTGCGATGTCCTGGTTCAGAATTTACGCCTGCCTAGCTAGCCACTCTACTTAAATAAAATTTGAGGAAAAAATTGCATAATAATGCACTATTTAAGTAAGACAACAAAAAATAATTTTCTTTTTCATTTGTCAAAGTACATATATTTAAAAATCCATTGTTAAAATTTGTGGAGGTTATATCTTGACGACTATAAAGATGTCGACAGAAGCTATTTTAACGTTAATATAAGTCAATAAATAAATATCATAAGGTTTGTACAAGAATATTTTTATACTCTTTCTTAATATTATTATAAGTAGAAAGAACACCGGAGTCGTTCTTAAATTTATAGACTTCGAAAGAAATCTGAAAAGTATGCTTAATCTTTCGTTCGTTACGTCAGAAATATCCCTTAAGTTTCATTCGTCTTTCTGTATTCGTGGAAAAATGAATTTACATAAACATCCGCAGTATAATAATCAGTAGACTTAGGGTCTTATGCATTTATGATATAATAAACAAATGCTAAACGTAGCCAAAGAATATGCGTACTACTGCAAAATAAAATAACAATATCATTATAACAATTGTAGAATATATTCAACATACCTTATATCATGTACATTTTACGTACGTTTCCTATATTATCATACGTCATAAATGCATAAACATTCGCAGTATAGCAACGAGCGAATGCACAGTATCGCTCGAACGATGAGAATGTCGCAAAAGCATATTCAAAGCGGCAAGAGCGTCGCGAACCGAGAAAGTTCCCAAACTTCTGTTTGGCACAAGTAAACGTCCGTTTTTTTTTTTGATTTCTTTGGTAACGTTTTGCGCGCCATTTCGCCCGATCTTTCGTCCCACTAATTTTGCATTCTCGCGTTTCCTTTCTCTGTGGACGAGGAACGAGACGCCTGGGAACATAACTTTGCGGGATAGAGACGCGACTTTCTGGCACGATTCGGCGAGAATTCTTATCTGTCGTCGGCTGCTCCTTTTCGGCGCGACGAACGTCGCAGGGAAAAGAAAAATTTTTCCGCTCGAAGGGGAATCGCGTTCGCGACGAAAAGGGGAGTTATCTTCGCTGGTGCAGAAATCCCATGAAAACGATTTCGCTGACGCGAACGAGCGTCGTCTCGCCATGCGGATGCTGCGACGTTTACGAATTCTCCTCTTCCCGTCGTCGTTACGATGCTCTCATCCTCCCCACCACCTTTCCCCATTACCTTTTACCCGGCTTTCTTAATTCCATCCGTAATTCACTTTTATTTTACGCCTCGATTCCTGGACTCGAGACTCTCTTTTTCGCGAGGAGACGTGTTGCTTCGTGTAGAAACACGGATGTACATGGATTTCAGGTTGCAGGTGACATTCCGAAGCGTTCTATGCGACATTTTGTGTATTTGATTAGTTTCCTTGCTCTTTGTAAATTGTATGCATAGTTAACTGAATTGAATCACGCTGGATGTTTATTTGAGTTGTTATACTTCTTATAAATAAGGTGAAAATGTATTTACAGTGAAACTTTTTGTAACAAAAAAGTGACAGTGAGAGAGTAGCGATGGAGCATGTTGTTGACTGTAATGCATAAGTGGGGGTAACGCACAACTCTCACCTATACAGTGTAGTTTAAAAGTAACTACGAAAGTTACACCTACGGAAGGGATTAAAGTGTTTCACTTTTAATGCGCGGGATTCCACGGTACTGATTTTCAAATGTTAAGTTCAGATTTAGAATCAGTGCCACCATTAATC